CCGGCAGAGCCGCCATGGCCTCACCTGCAGCGACACGTGCTCCTGCATCCCCCTCGCGATACCACCAGGGCCGTCCTGGGCCTCCACGATCTGGGTCTGCGCCCCGCGTGTCTCCTGTGGCAGATTTGCAAGTGAAATGCACAGAGGAGCTGCAGGCTCTCGGGTAGCTTTGAATCTTTCATTAAGGCCCCTGAAGTGAGAGGGAGACATCAGTAAGAGTCAGTGTCGCCTCCACAGCGTTGCCTTACAGTGATGTACACATGGAGGGGAAGGAGTAACCTCTGCATTTGGGAAATACAATATTCAGTGATATTTTTCTTAATATACTCATTGACCTGATTTTTTCTCTTTCTCTGATTGGTCAATTTTAATATTTTTAATCTTCTGAAAAGGGATTTGATAGCCTTGTCTTCTGGCAAGTCCTGAAGTGAGAGGGAGACGCCAGTAAGAGTCAGTACCTGTCGACTCCACAGCGTTGCCTTACAGCGATGAACACCTGGAGGGGAAGGAGTAACCTCTGTGTTTGGGAAATACAGTATTCAGTGTTATTTTTCTTAATATGCTCATTGACCTGATTTTTTTCTATTTCTCTGATTGGTCAATTTTAATATTTTTAATCTTCTGAAAAGGGATTTGATAGCCTTGTCCTCTGACAAGATACAGGAATTGGGTTTGCTTCATGCCACCTGAACTCCTCTGAGGTCCCAACTCCAACCACGACCTGTGAGAAACACAGTATCGTCTTAATCTACAGTCGGATGTGTGTGATGCTTAGGATGGGGCAGAAGACATCAGATATTTGTCTTTGCCATAGCCAGAGGCAAGAGGAAGAAGCATTTGAGGTCTCTGTGTGTGTGTGTGTGGACTGGGGACAGTTTGCTAACTGGGCAATTTGTTCATCTTTTGTGCTTACTTGGTAGTCTAATATTTCAAATAAGGTACAGGCTCCCTTGTGACCCTTCAGGCCACCTTTGAGCTTTAGTAACACTGGGTGAAGTGAGTAGAAGAGAGACCATTGGGCACTTGTCACAGAGGCAACAGCTTCTCTCCTGCAAATAAAAATTTCTCATCTGTTTGGTTACTGCACTTTTGACCCACATGCAGAAAACATCTTCATTCATGTATTCCGAGTGAGGGGAAATTCTGCTTTTCAGAGGTTTTTTTTTTTTTTTTATGGCTACTAGTCCATCTAAAATATGCAAACTTTGTTATGTGTTTTCAGGATGATGGCTATAATAGAGAAATGCATATCAGAGTTTTATGGGCTAATTCATAAAAGTGAATCTTTAAAGTCCGTATAATACGAGCAGGATGCTTAAGTAAACTAAGAGTTAAACAATTTGAACAGCAAATTTAAATTGGTCTCTTAAAAGCAGTCTTTGAAGCCTGGAAAATTTGTAGCTAGTGATATATTTCTCTTTCTTAAACAGATTATGTTAAAGTAAAACTTTGCTGCTGCAAGTAGAAATCCTTACCATGAAATGTATTAGAATTGTCTGCATCTGGGAGCACTATGGAGCAGGTTTCAAGATGGAGAAGAAATTGTTACATGTGTCTGCTAATAGAAGATGGAATTTCACTTCATAGAAATGACACCAAACTTAAACTGAGCGGGACAGCAACATGCTGGCACCAGACCTCCGAGTCTAAGGGCAGTGGAGATGCTGGAGCACTAACTGAAACCAGGATGAGAGCGGTGGTGACAGGAGGCGGAGGCTATTTCGGATTCAAGCTGGGATGTGCTCTTGCTAGCTCAGGAGCTTCTGTTGTCCTGTATGACACAAACAAGCCTATTTGGGAAATTCCCAATGGAGTGGTGTGTATCCAGGTATGATGAACTGTATTTTCACAATTGCCAAATAGTTTATTCACTTTTTGTTTTTTCCCTATAACTTCTTGTTAGTTTTCACTGGGTGTGTTAAATGTCAAGAACCTTTTTAAAGGTTTTCACATTCTATGCATTTGTCAGCTGCAGGTTAGTTTGCATCTGAAATAGATAGGAAGTAGAATGAAAACAATGACATTTCTAACGTACTTAAAATGAGTAAACTGAATAGTTCTTTTTCTTCCTGACTTACAAGTATTCTGTTCACATCTGTGCCTTATTCACCAGTAAAATGAGTATTATACTTCTTCGGGTGTTATAAGGCTTAATGAATATTTTTAACATCCTTTGGGTGCCATGAAAGAAATCTGTTACTACCAATAACTACTAAAAATGACCTCCCAGAATGCGCCATAAGTACAACCACGTGTCTGCATTCCCTCTGTGCTATCCCTCTGCATGACAAATGCTAACCTATGGTTTTGCATTCAAGGCCAAATCTCTCTCATATGTATTTCAGGCAGATGTCAGGGATTATGATGCCATTTTTGCAGCCTGTGAAGGGGCTGACTGTGTCTTTCATGTAGCTTCCTATGGGATGTCAGGAAGAGAGCAAGTGAGTCCAAATAGCTTTTTATCTTTCTGTGTGATTATCTGTGCTGAGCTAGGCTGAGAGATGTGCTGCAACATCATGTTTTAGACTCTCTTCACATCATCCTGAGGGCATCAGTTCCTAAGTTATTTCAGCATTTCATGATGAAATATCTTAACTTCCTCACAATTTGAGGCTTAAACAATTAGAGCCTGGGAGGGATTTAGAGCTGGAAACTGTATTGAAGAGTTTTGTAATAGCAAGAAGACAGGAGGGGCGAAGGACTGGGTTCCCCCCGGAAAACCTGATCTTTCCCTAACCTTTTTTACATTGAACTTGCTGTGAGGTCACTGGAAGGAGTGAAGCCTGAAGTAAACTTTTATAACTAATCTATAACAACTTCTGCATTTCAAATTTAAACTGTTTGCCAGTAGATAAAATGCTGTCAGGAGGTGCCTGATATAGGGCTCTGACACACATTTTGTATGATCGAAGTTACAAACATACATTCCCCTTTTAAGACAAAGAACTCCAACAATTACTCTAGCCAGATAGATGCCTCACCTAATGATTAAAAAAAGTAATCATCTGACTTCTTAAAGTGTCATGTTTGTCTAAACAAGCTTTTTTAACAAAAAAAGCACTAAGTTCATTAATTTTGCTTCATTTGGGAGTATTACAACAGCCCCCTAGTGAATTTAAAATGTGTTATCACTCAGAAATGCAGAATTTTTCTGTTTTCTTAGCTTCACAGAAAAGAGATCGAAACTGTAAACATTGATGGAACAAAATTCATCATTGATGGTATGTATGTAACCTTGCCTATGGGTGTTAGTCCAGCATGTCAGAGCATACCACTTCGAAAAGAAGATGTTAGTATGCCCTATTTTTCACAGATATTTTACATTTTTGACAGAAGATGGGGAACATGATCGTTTCTTTTATGTTTGGTTCTGCCATCAGGTGTGATACAAGAGCCAGCACTGCAGTCCTGACTGCTTCAGCTTTTCATAACCGTGTTTGACCTCGTGTCAGAATCTGTATCCACATGAGCAGCTGCCTGTTTCCGTGTGCATGGATTTTTTTTTTCCATATTTCAGTTTCAGCTCAACTAACTTACTTTATATGTTGTCACAGCCTGCAAACAAAGGAACATCCCTAGATTGATATATACAAGTACAGTAAATGTGGTGTTTGGAGGACTTTCTATTGAAGATGGTGATGAGGAAACTGTGCCATATTTTCCCATAGAAAAGGTATTTTGGCTTTTTTTTTCCACATTTCCTCTTTGCTTACTTTCTGAAAAATCCTGGAGTTTCATGACCATATTTTCCCTGCTGTCAGATTGAGTGCCAAGAAAAAAAAAAGAACGATCTTCACACTCTTTATAGATGCTGTTTGCAACATTAATACATCAGTTTTATGCAAATTTGAGAATTATTCGTTTGCCCTTAGGGCATTGATTTGTTGGGAAATAACATACAGTTGTATAACTTATGTTAGAAACTCGTACTTTTTGATGGCTTTTTGACCATTTATTATTCATATTATTTATCTTTTTCTCCCTTACTGGAGATGATATATATATAATACAGAGCTGATATGGGCAAGTAGGATATTTTATAGGGTTACATTGTGTTTAATTAAAACAGACTAAGTTGTTCTGGTTGCTTTGCATACGTTGTTGGTTTTTGTCTTTCTCCTTTCTCCAATTTATCTCCACCATTATTTCAGTGTTTCATAGAATTATTATGGATGGACAAAAATACTGCGTAATGCTTCCACTGGGAGTGTGCCACAAGAAAGTGAACAGCCGAATCCTAGGGTCCTTGAGCTTGGCTTCTGACTTTTCCATTACCTTAAAAAGAAATCCAGATTACAAAGCACTGATCAATTACATTCTTGGCAGCATTCAGAGCATACATATATTTATTACTTCTCAGATAGATTAAAATTAATTAACTGAATTTGCATGAACAAAAGTGCTTTCCTACCTTAACACCTTCCCACACCTTCCTAATTTTGAGTTGTTTGTTGCCATCTACTTTGTAAAAACTAATGGAGAAGAGATGCCTCTCTGCTCTGTATTTCAAGAATAGATAAAAACATCATATTTGCTTTTTCTCTGTAGCATGTTGATCATTATTCCAGAACTAAATCAATTGCAGAACAAATGGTACTAGCAGCTAATGGAACTCCACTAGCAGGTACTTTTGTGTTAGCATGAATTCGTAGTGGAATTTGTTCCTCTTCTGCCTCCCTAAAATTCTGCGTGTATTTATATCAGTCCTTCCATGGACAAGATTGTCCAGCAAATATGAAATAAAATTACCTACCACTTTCCCAAACTGTGAGATTCTCCTAAAAACACATTTTAAAATGTTTGTAGTTCCCATGGTGCCAACAAAAGCTTTCAGTGTGGTAGTACTTTCTTAGTTGAAAAGATGTAGACATCTTAAGACAGATTAAAGAAAAACAGAAGTGTTTAATGTCACCGTATTACACAAACTGAAACATGAATGCTGATTAAATCATTACCCACTTACAGTTTTATATTCAAATCTGAAGGCAATACCTGATACTACAGCCTGGAATTATTTATTAGTGCATCCCAAAGTTTTCCGTGTTGAGGGAGCCAGTTATACACTTGAGCACTTAAGCTCACCTGTGAGATACTATAACTGCCAGTGCAAAACAAATTAATGTAAAGTGCAACATGATTCCTTGTGACCAGGTGATACTGAGCTAAATTTAGCTGAGAATAACTTAACAAAAAACTTGCTTCACTTGATACTTAGAGAGTAATAAAGTTATTGATGTGTGTTTCATCCTAGTAAGATTATTCTGCTTAAAGAAACAGGGTGAGGGGGAGGTTTTACTTATTTCTTTTTCTGTCAGCAGCTCTTCACATCAAAGATGTGCTCTAATTCTCGCAGCAACATACTCGTCTGCATTTCTCAATTAAATTAGCAGATTAAGCTAGTTTCTGTATTATGATCCAGTGATATTTTCATCAGCCACTATTCCAAACATCCCATTCTGATTCCATGCCATAGCAGGATTGAGTAAGGTACATGTTACCAAGACCTTATACTATTAAGAACAATTACTAGCAGATGATGAACCAGGTAACTGATATACTTGGGAAACAATAAGGATTTTATTATGGTCGTTATAGCACCACGCTGAAGTTCTCAAGGGCTTCTACAGCAGTTTCAGTGCAAGCAGCATGACCCAGTGTTAAGAGCCCTTCAGTTATATCTTTTACTGCCCATCAGAAATGTCAATCAAATCAAGCCTGATTTCACTCCACTCTTTGTTTTGCTAATAACTTGATCATGTCAACAAGCCTATCATCACACTTGGCATATTCATTGATTGTTTGGCACAGAGATAAAGAACTACTTAGACAAAAATTTTGAATTATTTAGTAATTCCTAGGAGACCAGCTCTGTAAAGTGTTGCTGGCGGGAGTCTTCTGGATTTTGTGTTGCTGTTCTGCATGTTGTGATTCTGCTAACATAATATCCAGCTATTAATTCAACACTTTGTTTGTGAATATTATGTTTTAAACTGGTGAAATTCTTTTATTTACAAGTAAGTTTCCTACAGCAGAGCCTTCATACAACCCCCAAAATCACATTAAGAACAGTATTATAAATTCTTCTAGGAGGCGGTGTATTCTATACGTGTGTTCTTCGCCCACCAGGGATCTATGGACCAGAAGAGCAAAGACACCTGCCACGGCTAGCAGTATGTACTGGAGTGTTTGTCAGCAGAGTTTGCTATACATGCCCAACAGCATCAGTTCTTACTGCTGTGAACTGACTGACCTGCTTAGCTGGCAAGAATTCAATTGTCCGTTGAGGATATTGTGACTTTGTTAACAGGTGCTATATTATATCTGTAAGGAAGGCATAGTGTGTTAACAAAGCCTTTTTGAAATACAAGCACATGTAAGTCTAGCTTTATAGTTTAATGCTTTCTATAATTATGATCATTCAGGCCAATCTGTGATATTTCAATTGCTGGTTTGTGTGCAATTTAAACCAAACATTTTAAAATATTAATGAGAAGAGATAAGGCAAAATATCTTATTTCCAGTCTCAACTATTAACAGCTTTCACTAACCAATGAAACAAGCTAAGGAACAGGAAGCACCTTTTAGTACAATAGGTTACTAAAGGACAAACAGCTAAGGTGCTCGTGTTTTACTCATTTATGTATTTATTTTTCTTTACCTGCTCCCTCTTATATTGTAGGGCTACTGCAGTGTTTAGCAAATGGTCCCTGTGGAGTTTGAGACAGTTACTTTAAAGGCATCTCTACAATACAAAGCTATGTAGTTTTGATAAAAGAACAATACGTCTGAGTAAAATACATTTGGATGGATAAGGAAGCACCTCATTTAAAAATGCAGCTTGCTGTGGTTTTGTGTTTGTGTCCACAGAAGAATATTGAGAGAGGGCTCCTTAGCTTCAAGTTTGGGGATCCTTCTGCTAAGATGAACTGGGTGCACGTGGAGAACCTTGTACAAGCCCAAGTGCTAGCGGCTGGTGCGCTCACTCCTGAAAAGAACTACATAGCTGTAAGTCAGCAGTAAAAACACCACAGCTTCATTTTACCGCGGAGCCAGTAATTAATGGTGCGTCATGGTCCTTTATTGTATGTATTTTTGATTGACAAATGTGCCGCTAACACTGTGCTGCCAAGCAGCACTGTGTGCATAGTGGCAGGTTCACTTCATTTTTTTAAGAGTATGTCCTTCTTTGCATTTTGGTAATATTATATTTGTCATTTCTGGAAGAGGAGCAAAGAGTATCTGTCAGAAATGAATTTGAAAATTATGGTAGATTTGTCCCATTCCCACTGTACATAGATTCAGACTTAATGCTCTGACCTGCAATAATCAATTCTTCGCGTATCCTATGTAGGTTAGAGCTGGCATCTCAGCACAGATGACATTTCACACATTTATTTCAAAAGTAGTTGCAACTGCTTTCCTCCTTGTAAACACACTTTCCTATCTGATTGAGAAGAACTGCCCTTAAAAGTAAATTAAAAAGTCGGCGTCATCATTCTTTACAGACACGTCTGTAATAAATAATTCATACAAAGTATGTGAATCACAGAAACCACTTCTTTACCAATTTCATTGCACTAGAAGGGAGACTGATTGGAGGGCAAAGCAGATAGTTTGTTGATTAGTATGTTGATCTGTGTGTATTTTATATTGCTGTATCTTTTAGTTATTAAATCTGTGTATAAATGGTGAGATAAAAGAAGTCAACATCATATACAGTATCACTTTTACTAACATGTCTGTTCTCTACCTCTTCAACAGAGTGGTCAGGTATATTTCATTAATGATGGTGAAAAATTCAACCTTTATGAATGGTTAACTCCCCTAGTACGTACACTATATACTTTATTATGACAATATTCAATTACAGCTTTTGTGTGCCTGTGGAGTTATCTCGTATGTTTGCTTTGGGTACAAGAGTGTTGTTCTGAATGTGGGCTTTCCTTCACCGAGACCAGAGCTCTGTGAACCAAAAGCCTCTTTCAAATAGCCCTTATGGCTTCTTCATTTTTTGAACATTCATGTGTTAACGTGGATATTTTGAGGACAAAAAAATAATTATTAATCTGCAATATAAACTCTTTTCAAAAAATCATTTTGCTGTTAGTAATGGGTTGAAAACCATAAATATGTCACAAAATTTAATTGGGTATGAGCACATAACAATATTGGGGTCAATTTTAATAATCCTTTCCATTTTTTAAAGCAGGGAGGAACTAGGGATTATTTCTCACCTAGACTGTCATTTGAAAATTACATGGTTTCTGCATGTGGCATTTAACTGGAAATTCCTGAAGAAAGAAAAGCTAAATTGTAACGGCAAAGAGGCAGTTTACTGATTTATCAGTAAATATTTCCACAAATGTCTTCTATATTGAAACTTTAAAACTCATTTGAGGTTTCTACTTTGGGTTATTTTTAATCACTGTTTTTTATCCCTCTTAGTTTGAAAGATTAGGTTGCAGTAAACCATGGATACGTATTCCTACCTCCTTAGTTTATGCATCAGGTAAAATATTAATAATAATTTTTAGTACTTGATATTTAACAAAATATTTTATTAAATAGAAATATAAATATTTTATTATTTCCCTTGGTGCTGTCCACATTGCCTCTATTTCATATTGCAATGTAATAGATGATTATTTTCAATTTCCCCACCATTTATATTTTCATTTGTAACAATAATATGCATAATTTTTATTTTTGTGTACAAAAATAATATGCTTTGGTATTATCTAGTATGCAAGAGTTAGGGGTGAAGCTTATGTGTGAAAAACAGAATAATTGGTTATTTTAAATCCCACAGAACTGCACATTTTAAATCCTTACCTGGAATGTAACTCCACAGAGTTACAAATACAGCAAGATAAACGTAAAATTCTCTGATTCATGAGATATGCTGGAGCATGTTTTTTACTTGCATGCATTAAATCTCCTTCTCCCATACCCAAAGCCATCTCCAAAGTGAACCTCCACATGCAGCTAAGTGCCCCACTTTGAGGGGTTTGTTGTCACCATGTATTTCTCATGTCCCATGATCTTTTCACCGAAACTACCACCACCCCACTACCTTTCCACACGCAGCCCTCCGTGATTCAGTCCCACTGAAGTGGTGATCTTTTGTTACACAGCACTAATAATGGAGTATCTGCATCTGATGCTGAAACCATTTGTTGAGTTGTCGCCTCTGCTGACCAGAAATGAGGTAAGGCCTTGTTTACACCAGCTCCTTAGCTCTCACAGGACAGGCATCATGTAATAGAGGCACTCCTTGAGCTTTTCAGCTGGAAATACATTTCCCTGTATGACTTCAGCCTCTGGTTTTCAAGGAGGTATGTGCCAGGGGGTATTTTAGGCAATGTCATGTTTGTTGTCACAGCTCTGTGGCCTGGGCTGGCCAGAGGCCTAAGGGAGGGCTCCTGCCTCCTTAGGATCACAGACAAGAGCACAGAACACTTTTTGTGGGTGTCTGCAGGCCTAGAAGATCCTGGTGTTTAGCCTTTGCTTCCTCCCTCTTTGGGCTTTCAAGATCCTCCTCTGGGTGAACTATTTGAAAGGCAATGTGATATATGTCAGTAGGACACAGTGTTTTAAATGGCTGGATTTTTACTACCATTTCCAGACTTCATCCTATCTGTCTGATTTCTGTCCTGCAGGTGCAGAACATTTCCACCACCCACACGTTTCGCATCGACAAGGCACGGCACCAGCTGGGCTACAAGCCAGGGAAGTTTGCATTTGCTGATTCTGTGGAACACTACCTTAAATCGAGACCAGAAGCCCCAAACCATCACGCCTTCCTCAAAGTTTTGCTTTCTCTAATGGTTACTTTAAGTTTGATCTTTCTTTCTGTAAGATTTGAGGGCCTTTCGGTTTTGCAGTTTTTCACAGAAACACACCACTGATTCGTGTGGCTGGTGTACGGTCACCCCGGCACCATGGCCGTGCATCACTTCTCACTATGCGCTGCCGAATGGCCCCAACACAGCAAATGGGCCGCGACTTTTCACATGGGAGAAGCAAAAATTTGGCATAATGGTAGCTGCTCTTGAGCACTAAGCAGGGTGACGGCCAGGGACCACTGACCATCACGGGAACTTCCTCCGCTGTCTCCGCCCACCTCACAGTGTGGACGCGGCTCCCGGACCGACGCCTCCGCGGCGCAGCGGAAGCCACGAACCGGCCCGAGCGACTGCCACGGGCCGGCGGGGGGA